TTTAATGCCTAAGTGTAGAACTAGAACTCACTATTTCCAGGTGGACAGTCCCAAATCACCCAGCTGGCTTTAATGCCTAAGTGTAGAACTAGAACTCACTATTTCCAGGTGGACAGTCCCAAATCACCCAGCTGGCTTTAATGCCTAAGTGTAGAACTAGAACTCACTATTTCCAGGTGGACAGTCCCAAATCACCCAGCTGGCTTTAATGCCTAAAGTGAAACTAGAATTCACTAGTCTCCTGGCGATTGGCTCAGCATCACCCAGCCACCTTTTATGCCCTAATTTGGCTTTGAAAAACCAGGTATCTCTGCTTGCCTTAATTAAGGGACTTGTTTGCCCCACTATCTGAACTTTCACCCCTTCAGATCCTCCCACATTCCCTGCTTCAGGTGAGGAGTGTAGGGTGAGAAGTTGAGAAGTTCTCGGATTATAATGGCAGGCATTTTGGGAGGTGGGTTCAAGCAGGGTCCCTCTTGAGGACAAAGATAATGGTGCTTCCTGGGACCTTCTGGTGGAGGTGAGCAAGGGAGAATTGGCAGAATAATAACGCTACAAAGCAAAGATAGGACCTACCATTTTGGGTGCAGTCCCAAAAACATCCGGAGTATCTCTTGACCATCATCGGCATTGACAACATCCCCATCTGTCAATTGCGAAACATCCGGCTTTCAACACCATCCAACATTCCCCATCTGCCTATCCCAGGTCCTTGGGGAAGGACTCCAGAGGTGGACCAAAAGTGCCAAATCCAGTCCGAACATCTGGATAACATCTTATAATAATGGAAATGACGTTTTTCTGGCACAAATTGGCTCATCTAACCGCACTGCCTTCTCCCCCCACCCCCCTTTCGTTGATTCTCCTGCAGATTGGTTCGTATCATCTTCTAATTTTCTTCTTTTTCTCCTCCTCCCCCTCCTTTGCCCCCCCCCAGCACCAACAGCAGGTCCTGGGAGCCATTGAGCGGGCCAAGCAAGTGACAGCCCCCGAACTGAATTCCATCATCCGGGTCTGTGATGCTCTTTTTGTTAGAATTGATGGGAGGGGGGGGGTCTTGGGCATATAACCATTAGGAGCGCTCCCCATTTTCATACATCTTTTAAGNGCTCTGAGTCTGAACCCTGCCCAGGGTCCTCCACATCTTCCATAGCAGACTCATAGGGGTCCTCGCTATCGGAGTCCATCGGCAGCTCCAACGGCGCCTGCTGGGCCACAACAATCCACGTAGCCCACGGACCTGCATGCATTCACACAATCCAGCCTCCACGAATTGGGTAGCTAGCTCAAAGTATTGTGTGAAAACCACAAACCCCCATGATGTGTCTTTGAACAGTGTATTAAGGCAGAAACGTTGTCCAACGTTCGGGCAGGAAGCGTGTGTCACCTTCGCACCATGCAAAAGATGCACATTTTTGGGGTCATTTGCAGCCTGTTAATGATGTCCCTGGCAAAAGGCTGCAGTGATGTAATTGGCTTTGGAGTTTGGGTAGTTGCTACCCCATAAACGCACTTGCACATCATGTTTTTGTCGTCTCCTGCCAAACAGCTGATTGGAGTACCCTTCTCCGGTTTAACCTTGTGTGTAATCTTCCATTTCAGGCTGAAATTGTCAAGCGGTTGAATGGCATTTGCGCCCAGGTTTTGCCCTATCTGTCGCAAGAGGTACGGTAAATTCCCTTTCCTTTCCTCTGGAACTTTTTTCCTTTTATTCCTTTGATTTTTATTCATTTACATCCCGTCTTCATTGTTTTTACAAATAACTCAAGGCAGCAAAAATATCCAGCATCCCTCCTTCTTTTGGTTTTCCCCACAACAGGAACCATGAGTGGCCCAATTTCACCCTGGGTTTCATGCCTAAGGTGGGACTAGAATTCACAGTCTCCTAATGATTGGCTCAAAGCCACCCAATGGGCTCTCATGCCTAGAACTCACAGTCTCCTGGTGATCGGGCCAGAATCACCCAGTGGGCGTTCATGCCTTAAGGCAGAGGACTAGAATTCACTGTCTCCTACTGAACGGCCCAAAGTCACCCAGCCAGTTTTAATGCTAAGGCAGTACTAGGACTCACAGTTTTCCAATTATTGGCCTAAAGTCACCCAGCAGCTTTCATGCCTAAGGCGGCACTAGAATTCACCTTCTCCCGGCGATTAGCCTAACTTCACCCAGCAGCTTTCATGGCTTAAGGCGGGACTAGAACTCACAGACTCCTAATGATTGGCTCAAAGAGACCCAGCTGGCTTTCATGCCTAAATGTGGAACTAGAACTCACTATTTCCAGGTGGACAGTCCAAAATCACCCAGCTGGCTTTAATGCCTAAATGTGGAACTAGAACTCACTCACTCCTGGTGGACAGTACAAAATAACCCAGCTGGCTTTCATGCCTGAGTGTAGAACTAGAACTCACTATTTCCAGGTGGACAGTCCAAAATCACCCAGCTGGCTTTAATGCCTAAATGTGGAACTAGAACTCACTCACTCCTGGTGGACAGTACAAAATAACCCAGCTGGCTTTCATGCCTAAGGTGAGAAATTGGACTCACTATTTCCAGGTGGACAGTCCAAAATCACCCAGCTGGCT